TTTGCAATTTCTTTGTGTTTTGTGGTTGGCCCAAATGATTGATGCAGATTGTGTGACGTTTATAGACTAAACTTTTCAAAAATAGAAAAGGTTATGTACAACACACAACATTTGTCCATTATTTGCTTTAATTTTAGTTCGATAATGAAAAGAACCCCAAACATTCAAGTAAAGTATTACATTTCTTTTTATTTTACAGCAAGAACTCTTGAAGAATTAATTAATCAATAAAAAGTTTTTTTTTCAGGCCATGAAAATAGAAATTAATCCATTGAATTAAAGTCAGAAAATCATATAATTTTATTTTATTGAGGCAGATATATGAAACAATAAAATGGTTACTTTGTTTCATTAAAATATAACATCAAGTTTAATGGTAATAATACAATTAAAAAAACAATTAAACTATTTGAACCTCAAGTTTGTATTTGTCATTGAAACAATAATAATCATATCAAAGTTTTTTACAGTTCAGAACAACAAAAGTATTTATAAAATATTAACTTTTTTATATCACTTCATCAACTTCTTAACTCGGATTTTTATTTAGTTTATGGGGAAAAAAAGATTGCTCACAAAATCAATGACATTTCTCGTCCAAAAAAATCAAGGTCTCTCCAGAATAATTCAGTCCTCAGACTGCAGTGATGTCAACCCAGTCATTCTGAAATATATCCAGATATTTTTAAAAATATCTGCATATTAGTGGATCCAGCCAGGGGAATTTATTGCCCTGTGAGATATTTAGAAAATTTGGATTTTCTAAATATCTCACTATTGCAATTAACCCACATTTTACTAACTTTTCTGCCATCTTTCCTGTCCTCATGACTCCACCCCCCACCCCCATGCCACCTGAATCTGGGTCAGGCTGCATGCAGGGTGGTAATGCATGTCATTTAAACTACAACAGCATGCCAAACATTGCACCCAAGTAATCATTTGCAATTGCAAAATTGCCCAGATAGATATTGCTACATCAAGTGAGATTTGATGTAAGTGTGCTGCTCTGCAGATCAGTAAATATTAACCAATTTTTCAAAAACATATTTGTTGCTGTTTGATTGGCTTGTGCAGTTTTTTTGAATGTACGAAGGACACAGATGACGCTGCAGAGAGACAGAGATCAGTGACAATGTTTCTCCGCCTTTAGTCACCATCAGGTTGTCTAATGGAAAGCTAAATAATCACCTTAACTTTTGATTGAAACAGATTTAATGAATATAAGCATGCAGATGGAAGAGAAGCTGGAGCCTGTTGTTCATGTCCAGAACAGGCAGCAGGTCCGTTTCTGCAGGCTGGGTGCACAGCTTCACTTGCTCCTTTTCCCCTGCATTGCTCTGTTTTGTGAGTTTGTGTATGGATGTATGTATGTGTGTGTGCTTTCTCTCCTGTCAGTCCACTTAAGGGCCTTTGGTTTCAGAGGAGGCCATTGTATTTCCTCCATCGCCTAGCAACCATCACCAAGGCCAGCGGTCCATTGTTGCGGAGGCTGAGCACCTGAATTGCCTGCTGCCTGTTTCTACTTTTCAAAATTGTACTGTAATTTCACAAAGTGGTGTTTCAGCATTAGAGGGAAGCAGCCGCGCTCCAAATTGGAGGGCTATGAAAATTGGGGTAAGCTTCGTTTCTGGTGGTTTCGCCTCAAAAAAATAAATAAAAAGAAACAGCCGTAAAAACAACAGAAAGACAATCAAATTATAGGTGGAACAGGAAAAACAAACACTTATTGATATGACATTGACAGCTCAAGCTATATTATGTTCTTATGTGTCTGTGAGGCGAGGAGACAGCAAAACAAGAGAGATAAAAACGTAAATATTGAAATTATCCACAGGCTTGCTGAATCGTAACTTGTTGAAATGAATTTTATGGTGATATAAGTCTAGAAAGGCAGGAAGACAAAAAGCTTAAGAAAAGCAAGGAGAGAAACAGAGAAGTGGAAAAATGGGGAAAGATATGAACAACATGTAGTGGGCGGGATTTTGGTGCTGGAAAAGGTTTATGGGCCAGATTTTTCTCTGTGACGTCACGTTTACACAGTTTCCTTGAATAGCACCTGTGTGCATGGGGGCTGTCTGTCTGTCAGTCCTGAGTAAAAACATAACCCGTGCCAGCGAAAACACATCTATCAGTTGTTCTCCGCCGACCAGCCAAGACAGAACGTGCTTTTCCTCCGCAGAGGCCATCAGCGGCTGTCAGGTCTGCAGATCTCAGACCCTCAACTCTGACTCATTTTGTCATCTTTCCTGAGAGCAAGCGCACATTTTTGAAAACATTTTTTTTAGATTCAGTTTTCTTTCTTCTTCTTCTTTTTTTTTGCAAAAAAAATTGCTCATTTTGTGCAGCGGCCATCGACCCCCTGCGTGGATGACCCCAGGTGTTCAATTCAGAAGCGGTAAGTGGAAACAATTTCCCCATCAGTGAAACCTCTGCTTCCTGCATCGCTCTGTTCTGCTTCTTATTTTCCACTATACATTTTCTGATTCTATCGGACGTTTTATTCACTTCTATTTATGTTTCTTTCATCATCTGTCAATGTCACCCACTTTTTCTCACATGAATATTGTGTTTTAACATAAAAAGGTTACAAATCTGGTTTACCTCTTCATCTCAATTCTAGCTGCAATTACAACAGAAAATCATGATTAAAACTGACATAGTAGCACTAATCTTCCATCATGCATGCTGAAAACTGTTACATACTTTTAATTTATGCGGAAGTGCGTGCAAAAAACAAAATCTGGGGAGTTCAGGAGCAGAGTCCAGTCAGTTAGCAGTTTTAAATCATCCTTTCCACAGTAATTTCCACAATCAGACTTTTCCTGGTTTTCCTATATCTGGTTTTCTCTAAGGTCTCTACAACTATTTCAGATTTTGGCTAATTCCATAATTTATTTATTTATTTTTAATTTTTTGCATGAGAATAAAGTGTTTCAAGTTCCCTGAAAAAAGATAATATAACACAAATAAAAAACTTACAAAATGTATCCATCAAAGCTTGCATCCTGAAGACTTTTTCTGATTTTTATTAAACTCAAAAAGTTGGCTGTTTTTAGTTTTGATAGATTTAATAAATAGGGCAACAATGCAATATTTGTACCATCCCTTCATCAGCTCACGAATCAGAGCCGATAAAGGGATAATCGGCCAGTTTCAATCACCAGCTGACTGATTGGTGCGTCTCTGCTAAACATTTATTTTCAACAAAACAGAAGCAAAACGACTTGAAGGTCACAAAAACCAAGGTTAGACAACAAACTAAATGACTGGATCGATTCCAAAGATTTAAATTTATGACATAATTTAATTGGTTGAAACACTCAAGATTACAGTCTGAACTTCTGCACAAGCTGCATATGTCACATCCTGTTATACAGCATGTATTCATCAGTGCTGCATGTTCCCCTCAGTGTAACATGTCTCCAATGAAAGCTTTAACAAAATGGCAAAATGCCAATGAGAAACAATCGCCTGTGGGTTTGCGCTCAGAGGCTGGATTCAGACGTCTGCTGCAATAAATATCTGATTATCGTCAATGTCATTAAACCGAACCATTTCCATCAGATATGTTAATAATGTAACCACTTTTAAAGAGTTAATTGATCATCTTAAAGGAGGTTGAATGGATCATTCATTTTAGCCTTGTACGGCTCGTAATAAGTAATTTGTGCGATGATTCTATTCGTTTGTGTTTTACAAATGAATGACTGTAACCATCCTGAGCAGAAGGAAAAAAGAATATTTGACATGTAATTCCTGAAATATGGACTAATTCATAAAGTTTACAGATTTTCCTCAGTGGATGTAAAAATGGAAAAATTGATCTTTAAAATTTGCATAAATGTTTGTTCAGGGAAAGATCTTAGATGTCGAGTTGATTCCTGCACCATTTATTCCTGCTGTGTAAAAGATGGACATCTGAGCTCGGTGCTCTGCGTGCCAGAACCGCTCTGCAGACGCTGTTTTCTCTCTCTGTTCCAGCTTTCATGGTCACCGCCAAACTTGGGATGAGAGCATCAGATAACCCTGACGCTGACCCCTGGCTCTGCTTCACCCATGCCTGCAGGACACTGACCTGTCCTCACACACCAGGTCTCTCTGAATCGAGCATCTGAATCAGAGAAATTGAAGGTCGAGCAGAATTCTGGGGTCAGAGGTGAATGCTGTGATTCTTGAAACTGCTGGTTTGAAGAATGAAAGCTGTTGAGTGAAATGCTGTCATGTCTGAGCAGAATGTTTCTGAAAGGTCTGCCAGCCGGCTGGTTTAATCTCTGCGAGGACAAGGAGAAGGCTGATCAGGACTGCCAGTTCTGCTGCGGAGCTGCAGCCTGCGGCCTTCAGCCGCCACCAAGGTTCCCTCAACATCCGTCTTAACACCTGTGATCGCTTCAGTTTAAATTCCTGAAATTTCCACTAAAATGGGCAGAAATGAAACCTGAAGACATGCATGAGGGGTCCAGTTGGTCCGGAGTGAAGTGGAAGACTAGTGATTTTGTTGTTTTGCTTTTAGACAGACAACAAGTCATTGTCTCCCTCCCTGCTTCGAGACACAAGCACACTTAAACAATCCTGCCATGAAACATGATTTGATAGAGTGTGTTTATGTTTGAGGATTTGTAATCAGTCACATTGAGGATTTTTTTGCAGAAAACTGAAATGTTTTGCTATAAATGAAGGTGTGTTACATGTTCAAACACTAAAAATGATTATTTTATGTTCTTTAAATGTGTTTCAGTCTCCACACAGTTATTTACCATGTTTTGAGGAATCAGATTTGGGTTTTAAGCATTCTGCATGGCTGGAGCTGCATGAATTACTGCAGGACTCAATAAACTGATAAGTGCTGATAAACCTTCAGCACTTTGAACCATGAATGAAGGAAAAGCCGGAAACCTGCAGCTTAGAGGATCAGATGCAGATTCACTTGATTTTATCTTTATCATCTGATCTTTTTAGTTTCTCAGACATGAAGGTGAATAAAAAGCAGGAAAAGCTGATGACTTTCAAAAAAAAGTTTAATGATGCAGTGCTTCTCAGTGAAACTGAAACAGAAAAGTCTTTAGTGTTCAGAGCGGATTTTGCGCTCCAGTCACTGGGGTGGCAGCAGGGCCTTGGACTGATCCATCACCTTCTGGAGGAACTTCTCCATCATGTCGGTCAGGGGCTTCATCTGGTTCTGGAGGTTATCAGTTAGGACCTGACCGTTGAAATCGTCTGTGATGGGCCGGATGTGCTCCTCGATGTTGGAGATGATGGGTTTGATCTGCTCCTGCAGCTTGGCCGCCTGCTCCACCAGAGGCTGGATCTTTGCCCGGCTGTCCTCCATGTACGTCCTGTGGTGAACAGAACCAGAGGTCAAACATGAAAACATTGAGGAAAAATATGATTCATATCGCAGTTTCTTAGAAATGTTATAGACTCACACATTAAAATAAAGTCACATTTGTAAAGTGGAAACTGCCTCGTTTTGATTTTTAAATTATTCAATAACTTTTTTTATTTATTTGCATATATTTATTGATGTCTAGTTACGACGTAAAACAATATTGTATTTTCTTGAGATAAAATGTAGTGCATAATTGTAAAACTAACTGAAAAAGATTTTTAAAAACAATAAAAATCTGAAAAGTGCGGTGTGCATGTGTTTTCATCCCCCTTTACTATAGCAGATGCAAACCAGTACAACAAACTGGCCTTAGAAGTAATCTTATTTAATAAAAAACATCTTCTCTGTTTTTTGTAATCTGCATTATCCAGATTTTCTATAAAGTCTGTTAATCTGAGGAACTGCCGACTCAGGTGGGGAAACCTGTTGACTCAGCAGCCATTGAACCCTGCAGTCCTCAAATCTGATCTTTACGAAAGCAAAAGGTTCAGCCAGCAGAAAACATGAGGCCAAAGGTATTTCCTCAACAGATCACGTCTATTCTGAAACACTATGATGTGATACTGATTTAGCTAAGGACAGGTCAGTGGTTTCAATCAAAGTATTCAAAATATGGATCTAAATTTATGTTCACAAATTCTCCCCATCAGATCCGATTGAGTTTGAGCTGTTATTTAAAAGAGGACAAAGATTTTAAAATAAAGTTTCTAGATGTGCAAAAGTGGTGAGACTGAAGCATTGGTGAATCTTGTTTTGTTGTATTCATAGCGTTCATCCTGCTTTTCCGATTTTCTTCAAGCTCACAGCTGATCACCCTAATGTCTGCTAAAAACATCACTTTTCCATGTGACACAAATTTGTAATTTAGTAATAGATCATTAAATAGGTCCCCTATTTTGAGAAAGGAGAGACAAATGCTTGTGCCACAAATTTTCACTTTGCATTCACTCTGATGTGTGATTTCTCTCTCTGCAGAAATCTTTTATGAAATATTCCAGGACTGTATTGCAGATAATTATCAGAAATCTGACTTTCTTACCAAAGGTTTTGGGCAATCAGCTTATGGTTTTTACTATGTTTAATATTGAAGACATACCTCAAAAAAACTGCAGTGAAAGGTGGATCTAGAAATGATTAACTCTGAAGACAAAGCATGTAAATCATGTTGATTTTTCTCCTCCACTTCACAATCAGGAACTTCAGGAACTACTTTATGCTGGTCTCATGAGATACCAGAAAAATGCATATTTTATATTATCAGGTGAAACACTTCCACCTGTTGTCATCAGATGATGTAACAAGTGAGTTATCTTACTGGGCAGTGTTGGTCATCTCTGGAGCCTTCATCTTCTCCATCATATCCTGGGTTGCTGTGCTGACGAAGGTGGACATCTCCCTGAGGACCTGGGTGATCCTGTCCACCTCTGGCTGGAGCTCACGCTTCACCAGCGACCTGGCCACAGAGCCTGAGATCGAAGCAGTTTTCAGGAGACAGTTTACTTTTCAGCTGGAATTAATTTTCACGCTTTTATTTGGTCCTAAACTTTATTTTTTAGGGATTTCAATGTAGCAGCATGCGGTTTCAATGTAAATATAGTGATAATATTTCTGTAAATATGCTTCACCGTGAGCAACAGCCAGCACAACAAGAATAGTGGCGACCAGGGAGAACTTCATGGCTGCAGAGGAGAAGCACAAACCTGAAGGCAGAGAAAAGATCAGCTCTCGAAGCAGTGACCAGGGCATTTTCAGCAGCTGCACATGTAAAGAGCTCTGATCTGTGATTATACAAGCAAACGCCTCGGAGAGGAGACTCACCTTCACTCCTGGGGTTCCTGGACTTGATGGTGCCCTCTGTCAGAATGTCAGAGGCTTTTATAGTGGATGAGTTAATCACCATTACTCAGACTTTAAATCACCTCCAGTGACAAGATGTGGCATTAAAAGGTCAGAACAAGTACTGTGCTGGCTGAACCTTGATGTTTGACACCGTCTGTGACAAGAGGGGTGCAAAGTCCACCTTCTGTGATAAGTGCGGGAAACACAAGCTCCAACAAGCTTATTACAGGTACATACAGGATGCCTGATGGGACTACGTCACTTTTAGGACACATTTTTGCTTTAGTTTCAAGACATTTCAACTGATTTAGCTGAAGTTCCTGAATCAATATCAAGGCTTCAACAGCAAAGCAGCTAATTTTAAAAAACAGAAAAAACAAAACTGCTAATTACAAATTCATTCATTAATGTGTTTTTTTCTATTTCAATTATTTTTAGACAACTTCAAGAAACTTAAAATCAAGAATTGGGAGGATATGTTTGAATTAATCAGAAATTTTCTCATACAAGCTTAAATATGTGCATATAAACTCTTGAATTAGCAGACTATACCACTTTGTAGCTGTAATAATCTTCTGGATGGCTTTTTGACCTTTCCAGAGTTCTTTTAAATTGATTCAATTTAAAAGAACTCTGGATATTGTCGATATATCCTGGTGGATATTTGGACAAATATCCACCAGGATTAAGTCAACCTTTCCTGAAGTTTAATGTTTGTCAGCTTGGATGTGTGCTTGGAATAAATGTTGCAAGTTAATGACTCTGGGCTATCTGCTGGGCTTTCTTTGATAGAAGACTTTTCAAATCAATTAATCACTACTAATCTGAACTGGATGTCTGGTTTGATAACTGGGATCAGTCGGAACAGATGTCTGATTGGATTAATTAACTTTTTTGTAAAGTGACATGGTGTAAACTTATTTTAAATTGAATTATCTTGAAAGATAATGATGCTAATGTTGGCAGGAAGAATCTCCAGTAGCGGTCAGTCTTGCAACAAATCTGAAGAGGGCTCTGACTGAAGACTGTTGCTGTAGGAGACTCATTTTAACAGCTCAATATCTGAGCATGAAACATGATATGATGGTATTTTATGTTAACTTTTCCTTGATAACGCCATCAGTTTGCATTTGCCATGTCTTTTTAAATCTGACTGGGAATGCTGGGAAAACCTATTGATCTGTTCAATAAATCTATCAAACGAATTCCTTTTTTTCCACTGCAAAGAGAAACTCTCAGCTACAGTCGGACCAACCCGCAGTAAGCAGGCCTGCTCAGGTTATAAAACACAAGAAGCTTCAGCTCCAATTTCGATTATGCCTCAACAACCTATAAAAAATGCTAATAATATCTTATAGCTTCTCCTCAACAATTGGAGGTAGAATTAATTTTTGTGCCTTTTGATCTTAAATTGTGTCTTGCACTGACAGCTGAGCTCATTTTCACGACATTGTGAGCTGTTTTGCTGACACAAGGGTCATCTGACGGAAAACAGCTCAAGATAAAGTCTCACAGCCCATTTGCTCCCTTTTATCAGCAGTTACCTAACAATCTGCAGCAGCTCCTGATAAACTCGCCACACGGCTTCTCTCCACACATCAACTGTTCACTTTACAAGAACGTTTGATCTGCTAGTTTGTCTTTCTTTTCCAAGGTTCAGCCTTTATATTTCTAAGTAATTCTTAAAATCTTTCTGAAGGTTTTTTTAGTACACAAAAATACTCCTCTCGTCTCCTTTTTCACATTCTCACAGCAGTCTGCAAGGTTGGACATTCATAGCATCACTATGGCAACCTGCATTTCTGCCTGCTTTTTTAAAGTCTTGATATTGTGCTGTGCTCCTTCAGAAACAAAGAGAGTAATAAAACGATCACAAAAAAAAATCTCTGGCTGAGTTCATTTCTGAAACTGTGTTCGCCTCCGTGAGGCACCAACAACAGAATGATGCTTGCTTTGAGTCTTTTCTAATCTTTATTTATTTAGTTTTTTTTTTCTAGATTATTTTTCTTTCCAGAATCTGTTATTCTTCTTAAGAGGAAAAAGCTTTACACCCACCTTGTTACTGGTAGCCTCGTCTCTACTGGAAGAAACTGCCATTGATTTTGAAAAACCTGAGAAGAAGCCTTTTACATCCCTGTGGAGGAATTTTGTCTGACTCTTTTGTTTTTTGTTTTTTGACTAAATAGAAACCATTTAACGATGATGTGCTTCACGTTGCACAGGTGAACATTGGTAATGAGGTTGTGAGCTCACAGACGCCCAATTCTCTTGAAGATTTTCTCGGAAAAGGCAAAATTTGTGACCTTGATTATTAAAGAAAGTATTTTGGGGTCTTAAGTAGCAAATCTGGCCCACATCATCACACTACCACCACTGTGTTTCAATGTGGATGACATTCTCTGTCTGAAATGCTATTAGTTTTAATGAGACAAATACTTTATAAAATCAAAAAAACAAAATAATCATTTGTAAACTGCTTTTATATTTGCTTAGTTTATTTTTTGATATGAACATTTGTTTAATGATTTTTAAAGGTTAATGTGACACAAAAGGAGGAAATTTTAGGGTCAACTTATATGGTTTTTGAATGTTTTGATTCTGTTTTATATCATGTAGTTCTTTTAATAAATCTATAGAAGAATGATGTACATTTTAAAATCCATATTGTTTTAATTAAATTATGCTAATTTTTCTTTTTGTCTAAAATGTAATATTTATGTTAATTTTACAGGTTATTATTTATATTCTATCATTTACATTTGTGTTTTAAAAAGTATACTCTCTTTCATTACAACAAATATTTAGAAGCATAAAGGTGTGTATTAAAATAATGACAAAACAGGATGGAAGCAGCAATGATATGTTAGTAATTACAAGATTCACTTTATTGTCATTTAGCACTTTAAAGACAATGCAGAACTAAAGTCACATAAAACATAAAAATGTCAGGAGAGTTTTAAAAGGGGATCTATATAATTAATAAATATAAATATTCAGCTATTGAACAAAAGATATGCACTGAAAACACTGAAAATGTTTGTTTTTTTTAGACTAGAATAATATCATAATCTTCAGAATAGTAGCTGTTATTGTATGGATTGTTGTTGTCCAATCAGTAAAAGGTTTATGACACTATTTACAAGTTGTTTGAAATTTATCATTCAGAAAAGGGGGCTTATCAATAAAATTTGAAAAATGTCATGGCTGATGTCCCACACACATGCAGTCCAGTAGATGGCAGTAAAACAGCGCCAAGCCCAGAAAAACACCAGCCGGTTGTTACAGAAAGACTCATCCAGCCCACTAGGTGGCAGTAAAGCTGAACCAATGCAAAGAAGAACACACGCTAGTGTACACAGAGAACTGCATCATGGCGGACGTGTTAGATCTTCATGAGGCGGGAGGCGAAGACTTTCCTATGGATGAGGATGGTGATGGTGACTATATTATTTTGCTGGCGTGGGGTTTGTTTTCTTAATGTACAAGTGATAGGTCAATTTTGAGGTTTATTTTTCTTGTGGACGTGGGAAACCGATAAAACGGCCACCCTGCGAGTTGGCAGGCCCCAGCTAACGAGCTAAGCTAACAATGCTAACGGTTATTTCATTCAGTCTCTGTGTGTTTGTTACTCAGCCAGGCAGCAATCGTTTGGCTATTTAAAGACTAAATACATTTTTGGGGGATAACGTATATATTCGTTGTTTTACCTGTAACGTATCTGATCAACAGTGTTGTGAAGTGCAGCTCAGATTACCCGCTGGCTAACAAAAACCCCTGTAGAAAGCGTAAACTCAATGCTCAGTTTTGTGATTTTATCAGTAAAAACGTTTTATACAGGAGACATGTATCACAAAATGCAGATGAGAAGATGACTTAGAAAAATATAAAATATCCGAACAGTAACAGCTCATTAAAAGAAATAGCTAAAATGTCTTTTAATGAAATTTTAACAATTAAATGAAATAATTTTGATAATATCAAAGAGTGTAAATATATATTTTTAATTATACTTACAAATTTTTCATATTGTGACAATATATACAAAGCTGGAGTTGGCTTCTGAATCTGGTAAAAATGTAACTTCCTAGAGCATATTTAATCTGCTCTAGTTAAAATGACTAAAGTATTTAGACTCAAACATAGACCAGATTATTCTACACTAAACAGAAAAGTTGTCACGCCTTTCACTTAACTTTCACAAATAAAACTGATTTCATTGGTTACTTCAAGTATGATTTGACCTTTGAAAGCGGAAACTATGGGTGCTCCTTTTGCTCTTGTTAAATTGTAGCTTTTCATCCAGCACTCTGTAACTTTGACTATTTTACAGGAAAATAAAGAAGCTGTAATTCAGGGAACTAGTTATTTTTTTCTAATGCCCAAAGAAATCAGAACAACTGGGGGGGAAAATAGGGAAACAAACATATTTGCCAAATTAAATATACATACAATACCGTGCATAATTTATCTGTAATTAAAATCACCTTTGACATTTTCCCTACTGACCTTCTCCTTCTCCCCTCAGAGAGCATCCACAAACTGAAAGAGAAGGCCAAGAAGAGAAAAGGACGAGGCTTCGGCTTGGGTAACTTTGGTCATTTTCATTAGACCTCATGATTAAACCTTCCTGAACTGGTAGAAAATATATTGAGAGATGTTTTAAAAATGTGTTGTGGATTACAGAGGAGGGATCCAGGTCCAGAGCTAAAGAGGACTATGATACTGTGGAGCAAGACGGGGATGAACCAGGTCCTCAGAGATGTAAGTCCTAAACTAAACTTCCTCTTAGAATTCTGCTAGTATTAATTGTTAGTCATTTATCCATCCTTTACTGGCACCATATTTGACCCCAGGCGTGCACTAACAAGCAGATCTCTCCAGTTTTATCTTAACAGTTAATTTATTATTTAGTTATTAATATAACTACAGCTTGTTGGCTGGGTTAAATTTCCCAGGGGATTTGTAGGAAGTGAAAGGTCATTATATGTATTTGTCTGTTTGCTGCAGCGGTGGAGGGCTGGATCCTGTTTGTGACTGGTGTGCATGAGGAGGCAACAGAGGAGGACATCCATGACAAGTTTTCAGAGTTTGGC